TATGTACAAGTTGCACTGTACGTGTCGCTGCACTTCCATTCGCAAAATTGATAGAGCCCAGGAATACTACTAGTAAACTAGTAAAAGCATGTACAAGGCAAAGCAACTTCAAACTCCGCTCGTGTGGAGCAGGAATTCCTTCCACCACCACATGCAACCTTCTCCAGCAGAATCTGCAGGAGTCGCTACCTGGGCCCCCGAGCATGATTCCCGGCCACCAGCAACTTATGCTGATGCCTCGCAGTCCGGAGCCCATCAAGCGACGAAGCCAACCGGAAAAGGGAACCAAACCATCGGACTGAAATATATTCCATCCCATTGACCCCTGAAACTACCTATAATATAGGCAAATAGGTCATACATGGAGCGTCTGGGCTATCATGAGTTTGATGTCTTTGGTCCCTGCATCTCAGTTTGCCCAACTTGTGATGGAGATTCAGCATGTTTCAACAGAACATATTGCTTCATTGGCCCAACATGCGAGATGTGCGAAGGTGATCCTCTCCGGTGGCACCCCCCCCGAAAAAAATATCGAATGCCGGTGAGATCCGGTGAGACTAAACTGCCCATCTCCTGATAGAAGAGTTACATATTCACAGCATTCAGAACATGTCAACTATACCGAGAAGATCTGAGAAATGTATAATTCAAAACCTTCTAGAGGATCGGGCAAAAACTATAGGGAGGAAAGAAGGTCGTCAGCGGACCCTCTTGATGACGGGTCGGCCTGAAAACCTCGGAACTGACTTGATATGAACCAACACTATACACATGACCTACCGGGGCTGCCAACTATCTGCTAACCAACTCCATGTCAATCTTGTTAAACCATGTTGATCCCCAATGTTTCCAAATCTGGGCATCCGCGGCAGTGCCAGATTCCGGAAACGCAGAACAAGTCATCCGCAGTGCTACTTCTCGCTCTCGGCTCTCGCTCACTTGCTTTGGATCCCCTGGCGGTTGCTGCTCGATCCAACGATGAAAGCTCCTCAAGGCCTCCAGGGCGCTGGCCTCGTCGCCCGGTGACGCGGGGTGACCGGAGGGTCCCGGTCGAGCAGCACGAATCCAAAGAACTCTTCTGGCAGTCGGGCAGTCGGGCAGTCTGCAGTGGAATCTGGCCAACATCATGGGCAAATGGCATCCAATCATAGGTTAGACAGTCCTTGACTGAAACTGGTGGAAGCGGTTGCAACAGAGCAATCTGGAAAGCCTCCTAATTAGTTAGTGTCTGGCACAGAAATTGGCTCCTTGTATCACCCCCACAATCCCCCACATGTTGTTTCATGATGCTTTGCATTGCTTTGCACCCAACTTCTGTCAAACACAAGTCGCTTTTCCGTCCAATCCACAGGCCACCCTTCCGCTCCACTCCGCTCCGCCCAAAAGGCACAAAACCGGCCTGCAGACCTCTGCTCTCCAGCAACACATCGCCACAGTGGAGGAGGATCTGCGCGTTTTGCCGTTCGCGACAGACGCATCGACAGAAGCCGGTCGCACCTCGCCGTACGGGAGGTGAAGGTCCTCGTGCTGCAAATGAGTGTCCTGAGCTGATGGATGTCCCAAAAGCGTGGCGTCCGATCGCTTCGTTCGTAGCGATGCCCTTGCTACTAGTAGCTTCTTGTTCCTAGCAGTAAGGCCAGGAGCTACGTTCGGTTCGCGTCCGATCGCTCCGTTTGTGGCCATGGCCATGGCATGGCCCTGCCGGAGTCCGGGCGCAAACCAACCTGGGGACGCCACGGAGATGCACACGCAACCTGAGTGTGGTGAGGATCACACACCGGCCTGCATAACCTGGGAAGATGCATGCACCTGCAATATGCAGTGTTGCTAGTTCGAACCAGGGAAGGTACCAAACCAATATTGTATACCTGCTGGTTGCACACTTGGCGGCATCCCCCCCAATTAGACAACCAACCGATAGTAAAAGGCCATCCATGGTTCGTACTCGGTTTGCTGGAGAGTGCATGACATGAAGCCCAATTAACAGAATCAAGGCAGTAAAGTACCTCGTGGCAGTCCTGGCACCGTCGAGAAAGCAACATCATGCAGCAAGCAATGAATCATCTCATCTGTTCCATTGTATTCCCATTGACCTTCCTGTGTTCAGACTTTAGAATTAAGAAGTTCTTACAGTTTAGACAAACAAAACGTCACCCCGCGGCTTCCTGCCATCTTCATCAAGCCGCCGACGCACGCAGCCCTCCTGTGGTGGTGGCGGCCTCTTCAGCCTCAGCACTCTATCGACGTAACATGACGCAGCGCCAACCACCATCTATCCCTCAAAGGCCTTGACTCACGGCGTTACATACAGTGAAGGTGCCCTTCGAACGAGTCATTTGGGTTCCTTTTTTTGGGGGGGGGAATCGTTCGAAGCCGTCCACCAATCCATGCATGTAAGGCGACCTACATTGGGGGAGTTATACTGGTGATCAATAATGTATACCATGACCAGGACCTTCCAACAGGTGGTTTTAGAAGCCTAACAGGTGGTGAACCTGGGCACCTACTGTCACCAGCATGTTGGAGGGTCCACCGGCCCACCGGCGGAAGAACTTTTGCGATTCAGCACTCATCTTGATGGCTTGGAGCTCATCCTCAATGACCTGGCAGCAAAGCGGTCTCAAGTCATTCCTGGAAAGGCATATAAATGCCAACTAACATTTGGCCTGGACACAGAACACGTTGGGAGTCCTGGTTGCCATGAACTCCTCGAAGGCCCTGAAGATGTCTTGGATTTCTGCCAGGTTGGGGATTTGCTGTTAGACTTTGCGATTGCAAAAGCTCACTGGTGACATGAGGCTGCTCCATCTACGTCCGTTTTGGTGATGTTGGGTGGGATGGTGAGTGGTCAGCCCGCCCTCAAATGTCCGAAGGTGGAGCAGCTGCATCTTCGGTTTCTTCATTTCTAGAACGTTTTCCTGTTTCAGTGACCTCTGAATTGCAATGAATTACCGTAATTACCAGATTTAATTATAATATATGTGTAACTGTAACTGCATGATCAAATTGAGTGATCGCTCTAAAGGCAACAATTCGTCCTGGGACAGTGCCCTCCACTGGCTGGAGATAGTGAGTGGGAATGGCACTGGGATCAGGTCAAGGCACTTCTGACATCCATGTGGATCGAGCAATTCGCTCACGATACCTGGGTGGAAGTCTTCGCACTTCTGCTGGGAGCTTCCATCGCTGACCCCAACAACAAGGTGCTGGTGTACACCCTAATTGCCCCCCCAAACAAAATATAACGCACTCACCCTAGGCGTGGGCTCGATCATGCACTCTCCGAAACTCGTCGGTGGCACTGTATACCCTAGTATGACCATGACCACTGTATAGGCTACGAAACGTATACAGTATTCCCTATAAAGACGAAACCACATATAGACGAAACGATACCACATACCACGTATATAGTCTGTGCCAGACTTGGACGGGTCCTGGGGGCCCGGCGGAGCCAGGTGGCAATCGATTTACCACATATATTGTAATACGAGTGCGATTGCAGCCTGACTCCAATCCATGGTAACCACCTAATTCCTTCCTGCATAGATGGATTAGTTCCTTGTGACTATTAATTTTCATGATTTTTCATGTAGTGATCTGTGTACAATTTGGCCAGTCACGCCTTATGAAACCTTCACATGGAGGCCAGCACCCGTCCATGAGAAAGATACCAAACATCGGTGCTTTCCACTTCGCATGTTAGTTCCAGGGAGTTTAGAAACCTCATCTTATCCTCAAGTTGGCGGGGCATCAAAAAGTAGTTGGACCTTCCAAAGCCAACCCATACACCTTAAAGGCGGACGTGAATGGGCCCACGCGTCCCAAATGCCTTCCCTGTTGCTCCTCCAAGAGCTGTTGATATGCCAAAGTCTCCTCATCCTCACCCAGTTCGCCGCTGGTGGGGTCTTCTCTCAAAATCCATGTGACAAACATCGATGGGACGCAGCAGCTATGAAAACATATGAAAACGAGTTTGAAACAAAGCACGTCAAAGCAATCTCTGTTGAACACATGGCAATTTGTGGGCCAAGAGTCATTAGGGAATGTCTCCCAATTTCACCCACTGACTTCCATGTTAGTTATGCATTTGCATGAGCATGCTCAATTGACATGGTTGCTCCAGCCACCATGATAAGCTGCTTCTCCACGCAGCCTGGGCGTCTCCACGCAGCTTCTCATGCACACGGGACCGCACGTCCATCGGCAACAGTCGAGCGGTGCGCGACACGCTGTGCTCACCTGGCAGTCGTGTGCATCGCGACAGGCGACGAGGTGTCGTCAACGCTCCACCGAGAACAAGAAGAACGTGACCTTTTCCAGTGCAATAAGAATGACACACGCAACCTCTCATTCTCTGCATTGCGTGTCTGGTATTGTTGGTAATTGTATATAAGACTTCAGATGAGAAGAATCAGAAGAGTAGAAACATATAGAAACATAAAAGACTCCAACTTATCCCTTAGCCTTATCAGCTCATTTTTAGGTGAGTGCGGTGTTCGTTGCATCTTCCCGCAGGACCTCCTGCTCCAAGCTCTTGAGTAGCTGCTTGCTCAGGTTCCACTTGGGCCGCCAGTGTCAAACAGGCCCCACCTGGGGCGGATCGCGGATCTGTCAAGGGCCCACGGGCCCAGCGCCTTCTAGCCAGGGCCTACTCACGGGGCGAGTCCCCGGTCAGGGCTGTGTGAATGGTTGCTGCAAGAAGTGTTTTACCATTCACCAACGGTATCTGCAAAACCCCAAAAGACTATATTATACTCCTTCTAACTTCTATCTCCTTCTATTCCACGGAATCTGCAAGATCTGTCTGCAAGAGTTCGCAGGTTGCACTATGTTGCAATGACCTGACGTACTTTCGTCAGCCAAGCACCCTGGAAACTGAGGGAATCAACTTCCTGTGGCGCCAACTCACCAGATTCGACCTCCGAACCTGTCTCGCTTCGGAGCTGCTCGGTCCAGCGCCAGCCCCTCTCCAGCAGCCAGCTGCGCAATGCCACCATGGCCTCAACCCACATCAACGCCAGTGGCGACGGGCCACGCTAGCTAGCGCGGACCCCTCCTCCGGCCCGAGCTTCTGGCCTCTGGAGCGGTTGGGCAGGTGGGCTGCAACACCAAAGATCGGATGAAGCTGGGCTTCGAGTCCAAAAGCTGCAGCAACTGGCCTAACGGCTTTTCAGGGCGAAAAAGGGAACAGCGAACGCCGCGAAGTGGGGACTTGGTGTCCAGGTCCTTGGTCAGGTTGATCCTCAAGCCGGAATGGAGGCAGCTTTCAACATGGCCCAACATACCTTGATCCGCCATTTTGGCCACTGTTGTTCGTCTACCTCCCCATTCCTACAGTACCAGCTATGTCATTTGATTGCCATCACCTCCATCCTCAAAGCCTTCAAAAAAGAAGGTGCACACCTTCTATCTTTATGGTCAGGTGCAAGGGCACTTGGCAAGGTCATGAATGATTGTTGTGTGTGTGTGGCTATGTCACGCTTGGCATGACTCCAATGGCGTGTGTCACTGCGCCAGACCCCCTGGTCCCTCATGACGTTCGCTCCAGCTCTCGCCTGACGGCAACCCACAGAGGCACGCGACCGTAATGTCATCGTCGGGAGTGAACGGCCCAAAGCCGTCGCCCAGCCGGAAGTCCAAACCTCAGGTTGACACCCGAGGTCGAAACACATCTAAGAGCTGTTCTTTTTGATCAACGAGTGGCGAAGTCGACGAGCTTGGGTAGACTTGCACCACACAGATCCGAGGAACACATTGGAAAACTATGTTTTTGCCGGTGTTTGTTTCTCCAGGTGTGGGTTCTTCGGGAAACGCCCAAAGCCTCTCACTGAGGTGCACCCTTCCCACGTCCAGGTCATGCCACGTGAGAGCTCGTCGTCGCTGAGTAGGTCTGCTTTCTGTCGTGCCAGCTCCAACGGTCCGCGGCAAACGTCTGTGGCCACCACTGAGGCACCTGAGCCGGGTGGCAAAACGAAGGTCTGTACCAGGGCTCTGGGACTTCCCACTTGAAACACCGACTTCCCGTCTTACGGAGCTCTTCAGAAACTTGAGGATGCACTTGGATTCCTTGTGCATCCACAAGGAATCACTTCATTATAGGCCCGCCAAAACCGCCACGGGTGTTTCTGGAGCCCTGCGGCCCTCGCGCAGGAACGCCATCATTGGATCCTGTGGGATGAACGACTTTGCGCCGGTCACGCCGGTCACCATGAGCTGCTCGGAGAGGAGAAGGCCACCGTGGGTCCTTGAGAAGATCCACCTTGGCCTTTTGGTTGGAAAGTCAAACAACGCGCTGATGCTAAGCTGCCACCCAAACACTCCATGGGACTGCCATATATGCCGATCAGTTGGGGTGGTTTTAGGGGTCAACGGGATGGCATACACGGAGTGTCTGGGCCATATACATTCATTGCCCAAAAGGGTGAGCTTCAATGGGAGGACCTACACCACCAGCTTCCCCCCATATGCCGATCGCACCTCCTTGCACCACTACGTGTGAGGGCGAAACAGGCATGCTGAGACGGTGTGAGGGGCTCGGGGTCACCGGATCGGCTCCACCACAGGAGGATGCATCGACCAAGGGATCCCCCTGGCTGTGCAATCAGCATGCCAAACGATGCCAAAGATCAAAGTGACCCCACTGACCCCACGCATCCACCAGCCTCCCATGGAAAAGAACAACATATTTATATAGTTATATACAAATATAACTCTATGTATCTATGTATGTATGTATGCATGCATGTATGTATGTATCCAAAAATATATGTGTGTGTGCATGTATGTAACAACATTATAAACATATATAGCCAAACTATCCCAAACCTGGCTTTAGTCTGCCCATCTGACCTCTACCCTTCACATGTCGGGAGAAGCATCCCAACTCTCTCCGCGCTCAGCAGCCCCGCGGCCTCCGCGCACCAAGTAGATGGCCAAGTTCCCCACGTAGCATCCAATGTCCGCGATGCGCCCTCCACGATCTTCGCCACGTGGTGCGCCCACGGACTTGCCTTCCAGTGGATGGAGGTGGCAACCCTCGACGATAGCTTTAAACAAACAGTAGATTAAAACCTCCGCCATGTCATTTCCGGAACTTACAGCATTGCAACAAATCAAGTGAACAGTACTGAAGCATGTCCCTGTTTTTTGGTGCAGCTTCTCCCAACTCTCGGCTTGGTTCTGGGAATGGAGAAGTGAATAGCGAGGTGGCGCTTCTCAAAGCGAGGTCCTCCACATAGACTGTGAACATCCTTTGAACATCAACTCCTGGCCATGTCTACGAAAGCTATGTCCCAGTCCATGTTGGGAAGATTCAGGAACCTCTGGGCCAGCTGATGTACAAACTCTGGAGACCTCCGAAGACTTGAGAGAGGAGGGGGTGAACGAAAGGTAGCAGGCAATCACAAGTAACCCTGGTAGAAGTCCACGACGGCGTGAACCGGCGCAGGGGGGATTTGATCCAGGGGGGGGGGGGCCCCCCCCCCCCCGACGAACAGAATCAACTCTTACAGGACCAAATTCAATGCACAATCCCAACTCCTGATTGTAATACATTTTTGCTAAAGCAAGGAGAACTCAGGTAGCTCAAGCTACCTTTCGTGATTTAGCGTGTCTGTCTTCTGGGCCAGTGTGATTTACTCTTGCAAACCAGGACTCCCCATATCTCCCATGGTTCAGGGTGCCTGTGACTGCTCCAAAGCTCACCCAAAATCGCACCTGCCGCGGCCAGCGCCGCCCGCGCTGCCTGCGCCGCAGTGAGGAGCCGTGGCGGCAAGGCGCCGTGGTCCGCCATCCATGGCAATCGCTCCAGTCATGGGCAGTGCGAGGCAAGTGAAGCGTGATTGGTCGTAAGTATCCATCTGGGCAAGTGACTAGGCAAGTGGTGAAACGCATGGTTTGGCATGGACATACTGCATCTTGAGTTCCCATTCTTGGTCTTGGGCCAACTGACGCCCATGGTTCACATGGAACAGAGGCTAGGAGTGCATAGTTTGTCTGCACACCCGATATCCACACACACACACACCTTCTCATTTGACCGTCTGGGCCCACTGCCACTTCCAATGGCACTTCTCCAACCCAGAAGAGCTCACCTGGCTGCCATGCGTTTCGGAAGCAACGCGAAGCCATGGAATCCGATGTATGTTCAATTCAAACTAATTAACATGGAAGTGGACTGTCTGGCAACTCGGATGACCATATCTTCTATGTAGACAGATGGTTTTACATGGTTGTCCACTTCCATGAGTCAAAGGGTTGTCCCTTACAGAGTGCAAACGAACATCCCGGGCGTGGGTACCCTGGAAGAGCCAGCAAGGACGAATCCAGTCTTAAGAGCCAAAGCTACCCGCCCCTGGCAAATAGTTCTGTATTGAAAGAAGAGGAGACGGGCCCAATGGCTTTGGCCAATGTTTCCTTCAAGCAGGAGTACCAATGGGGGCTACAATCCCTATTTTGTCTCCACACCCATATTCATCGCAGCTCAGTCACAAAGACATGCAGCACTTGGTCTTGCGATCCGCCTTGGTGCACCAAATCAATGCGGCCAGGGCTGGGAAAGGTGGCTTCGGAAGCTCAGCCATCGGCAGAAGCGTCTCCAACACCACAAGCATCTCAATCGAGCGCCTGAGGAGTCTGTGAAGTGCTGGGCCCAGCATCTAGATGAAAAAGGACTAGCATTGGGTTGGAGGACCCAATGCAGAAATCATCCCACACAATCAAATCTTGATCCGCCTTTGATCTTCAATCTTCCGCTTTTTCATCTGGGATGGGAGCCATGTGGTTAGGGAGCAAGAGTGTCCAAAGTCTGAACACATTGGATGAATTTGAGCCCCTGATCTTGCCAATGAGCAGGCAAATGCCAATTTCCGTGTGCTTTGCAACATTACGCTTATGCATGCTTATACTTATAGCTCGTCATAACTCTCGTCATAGGTATATAGGTGAAGTAGTAGCTGAGAACAACAAACTACACTCATAGTAATGTGGTACGGAACATAGGTGATGACTACTGCGAGCAATTTGTGCAAGGCTGGGATGTACAACAATTCTCCCCAGCGGAGTCATGCCAGTGCACATGGTATTAGACAGACGGAGACGCCCTTGCACGTGGCCCGCTGGAGATTTACATTTACGGACATTTGCAGTTGGACATGTGCAGGAGTGGGTTGGTCTAGATTGTTCTAGGAAATATCTTGTTGCGGGCCTCCAAAGATTTATATACAGTAAACACACGAATCAAGCAAGAACAGGTCTTTCCAAATGCTCTCCCAACATGGAAACCATCACCACAGCTTGATACGAGTGTGATCTTTAACCAGCAAGGATGCTCATGGTATTGGCATCTGTGATGGCAAATGGATGTTTGCTTTCTTCTTTTTTTTCTTTTTTTCGGAATTCCTGGTCCAAGATCTTATACTATCTAGATATAGAGTCTAGATGTACACATGTAATACACATGTTTATTGTATGTCTACATGACTTGCGTGTTCCCCACAGCCACCGCTACGTCCCGTGTCCCAGAAACGGCCCACCTGACCCTCTGGACGGTCCGGACGGCCCAGTGGCCGCAAGACGAAGCGCCAAAGCCCATCTGCGGAGCAGAGACATGGATTCAATGCGACGTATACGTACGTACGTAGCAAGGACACAGAGCATCATCGTGTATCCATGGGTGACCTCCTCCAAAGTAAGATGACCACCATCTGCAGGAACATCAGCTTCTAAACGTCGTTGACTGAACCAAGAAGCAATAAGAACAGGAATCTCAAAAGCTATGGGCAGGAACCCACAAACAAGTGTCTCTGGCCGAACCCATTCTGGAAATCTCTTGCACAACTTTTTGTTCTCCTACAAGTTGTATTATGTTCTATTATCTCAGGCATTGTGAACCATGACTGGCTGGCTAGAAAAACATCAATACTATTGGCTGTTCAAAACCCACATGCACCTCGACATGGTGCACATTTGCACCTCGATATGCACAATGTTGCATCCTATCTGCGCCTGGTTTCGGTTCCGCTAAATTCCGTAAAGTAAAACGGCCCTTACGGCACCCGATCTCATCCGATCGACTCCCACCGATGAGCACCGCCATGGCACTCAGTCGCGTCCGCGCGCGGCGACACAGTGGGGTTCTCTTCGGCCCAGGAAGCGTTGAGGTGTTTGGCACATGAAGAGCGCTGGGCTGGGCCTATGTTCGACAAACCTATATAATTTTGACGTGTTGACGTGGGTGTCATCATCAGAAATCGCCCAAGACGCGACTGAGGAGTCTACTATTTGTCAGTGTTTCTGTGCTTGAGGAGTCTAACAGGAGTCTAAGGAGGTGGTCCAAACACTTCCTGGCAGCTGTGTTGGCAGCTGTGTCTCAAGCGTCTCAAGTAGTTGATGTATTGATCGTCCAAACCTGGCCATCAGTTTTTTCATTCAAGTCAAGATGGCCAGGGCTTTGAAGAGCCGACAATGCCAAGTTTGCAAAGCGAACTTTGGAAACTGGTGTAGGTTAGGTCGAACTTCTGAGAATCTGGTCAAACTTCCACGGCGGGCCCGGCGGGCACCTTCTTTTGCCTTAAGTGCAAGATCGTGTGCATCATGCATGGATCTATGTGCTTCCCATACTCACCTAGCCCTCAACACAGTAACAGTTCCAGGACCCATGGGAGCCATCACAGTGCACGTGAACAAGATGCGCCAAGCCAACCGATAGGCCGAGGCAGTCGTTCTTTTTCCACGCCAAGTTAGCCGGCATTCACTGCTTGCGATGCACCCCCCCATTGGGAATCAACTCAAGGCTCCACGGAGCCATTGGATTCCGAACATCACACGCCATGCGGTTGGGCCGAAGCGCCAACCCCCCAAGAAAAGCACTGATCGAAGTGGCAAAAAAAACACATTGGCCAATGCGATCCACAGCATTGGCCTGAAGAAGTCCGCAAAAAATCTGGAGATCTTAGGCAAACATTCACCAAATATACATACACGAGACCCAAATTCAGCCAATCATACTGGCAAGGCTGGGCCCAAAACGGATCCTTTAGTAAAATGTGGTCAAAGTACATCTAGGGCCTAGGGCCCCTCCAATGTCCAAAATGAAGCCGCCAGTGAAGCGGCTTTAGGGGTCCAGTTCATGGTGCGAAAAACTCACACACCAGTCCTTGCCATGGGCTGCTTGGGTGGACAAAACCTTTCAGCACAAAAGGCAACAACTAAGAGTCGGTCCTACAAAATCAACATAGATAAACCAATCGAAACATCACAGTAACCATCAGTACAGTAACCCTTTTATAAGGTACCCGCCGGCAGTGCAAAGGTTTTGATGGTCCCTCACTCTCGACTTGCCCACCTCCTTGCGCCTCCATGTCCCTCAGCAGTCCGGAGAATGGACGTACTCAGCCACGGCCACATGGAATGATTCACCCAAGAGCTCGATATGGGAATCATTTGGCTGTCAAAACCTAATGCTGCCCACCAACATGAACAGAACGGACTACCATGTTTTGGAGGTGAGGTCTTGACCCACACAAAAGAAGAAACAACAACAAGCCTGGTGTACAGAAAATCCTGGTAGGAGCATCATGTTTCTTCAACCTCAGCACCTTCATCTTCTCACAGGTTGCACGTGCACGTGCACCATCAAAGAAAATCGCTAATGATTTTGCTGGTGTCCTTGTTGGACGCACCACATCCAAGCATTCCCCCCCCACAATCTCTCCGACCTGCTGAAAGAAGAACCACCGCATCGCGGATCGTGCTCAACGGACCACGTCCGCCGTGCCTAAGGCAGGAAAGAGACCCGCAACCAAAGCACAAAGCGTAGCAAAACCGTGGGACGACATGTAGACGTGTGAAGGTCCCTAAACGTGACAATGCAGGTGCCATGGGGGAAGGCCTGTGATTGGAACAAAACACAGAAACGGCCTGCCTTGACGATGGGCGGCGCATGGAGTTTGGGAATACATGTTTCAGCCGGTTCAGCCATTCTGCCGTTCGGCTCATTCTTCAGCTCAGGTTGGGGCATTCCGAAGAACCGGAGGGGGCAGTCATGTGGAATAAAAGCAACACGTGCCTATACTGACATACTGTACATACCCAAAAACACGCCGAAAACAGCATATACACTGTACAGTATATACATATGCACACTGTACAGTATACAGTCATGTACCATATCAGAGGGGCTTGCAAAAATGACTCTCACTTTTTTTTGACTCTCAG